CTTTTTTTCTCGTCCACTTTTCATCAACTCTCCGTGAGTTCCGTGAAACATGCACATTCCGCTAGATAATAAAATACTGAAGATATATTTCAGTGATAAATATATGACGAACATCTGTGGTCTCGTGTGCTACGGTTATAATTTAGAAGAGTTCTTCCAAGTGCTTAATGGATGATGATGCAATTCGTCGGCGTCGCTAAATTTAACCCAAGTGGCAAATGCTAAACCTAGTGAGCCATCTGTATTTGAGTGTTCTTCACTGCAGCATAGCTCGTGTAGCCGAGCAGTTAGAGGTATCCTGCAATAAACCAATAGTCGTTGATTTAATGCTGCGCCTCCCTCGAACCAAGTTTGCCGTAGAGCGCCAGGGTCGGCAAAAAAACCTGTCTTGTGAATATGAAAACACTGACTTGATAGATCGATGGATCACTGGAAGTTATTGCATAGAGCAAATATAAATTCAGTCATCCTTGAGCTGCTTGTTGGGTGGGATAAAAAGCACACATTCATGAGAGCATATCAAAGGCGAGTAGTTTACTCATCACACTTTTCTTTCTTCCGACTATTCTAGGTTCGGGCTATTCCCTTGCATGGATGAGCGCTTTCAGCATCACCATTGCTTAGCTGTTTGTTTCCGAAAAGGTGACGATTGCTGTTAGAAAAAATAGCTTGATAGGAGTTCATATTGTCTTGTGGTAACCATTCATTAGAATTAGAAGAGCTGTATTTTCGTCACTCTTTTGTGACTGCAATAGGTTGTGTAGAACGGTTGGCAAACGGTGTGCAGAATCTCTATTAGAATTCCGTTCTCTTACTCAAAGCCAAATTTATTTGCAAACGCGACGATGCACTTTCCATTGGACGCTCGCAGAGTAACCGAATATGCAATTCGAGCTCTAGCACCAATTGGCTTCACGGAGAGTCCGTGAGAGTTGTTGCTTCTAGCGCTGAAATATTCTGTGATCTCGTCTAAGCAAGCGGCTCAACCTCTGTCTATGCTCTTGGTCGATTTCAGGGGGTTTGCACTCCAATGGGTATTTCATTATATGGTACTGGAATCTTAAAAAGGAAGCAGCAGTGTTTTAGCGCTGAGATATTCTGTGATCCCGTCTAAACTGTATTCTAAATTCCGTGATAGTCGTCATTGATTACAGCACTATAATTGTGATGGTTCCTAGGATATTCCTCTAGGGAGACTCACTTTTAGCTATTTCTGAAGGTTTTTCCTCGTATCCTCATAAGTTAAGGACTGTCTACCCGGCTATAAAATGTGTTTAATTTGGGTGCTTTACCCTACATTTTAGTTAGTACCAAGTGATAATACTGACCTAGACTTTATTGCAAGGTCGGAGACGAAAGATGGCCAAGTGAAGTCAATCACATATGAGGTGAGGTGATGACAAAAAAAGTGTGAAAACACTGAACCCTACCTTCTAAACATTTGTAAGTGGAGAATATCGCCACAAATAACTCGCACTTCGTAATCAAGTTCGTAAATGTCGGACTTCTGACCAGCGATTTTTTGCACGACAGCTATATGATAACTCGTTATTACCTTACGGAAAGCAAGAAGACCGTTGTCATAAAGATCACTTTGGTGTTTTAGGTGCAAGGCAAGAAAAAAAAAACTATTCGTGGTGAAAGTGAACTTCCAGTTCGGTCTTACCGACATCTAATGCTATCCCAGATTTGATCACTTCCCATCCGTTCACCTAACACTTTCCAAAGGAACGCCAAGTGCGTGGGAAATTGCTGATGGCAGTTAGTTGAGCAAGTATTTTTTCCTGCAGATCTCAAAATTCCAAGATGCCATCGGAGCAAGTTTTCACCGTGAGATCTCGTAAGCGCTGTGCGTCGAAAAGGGAGTCCACGCATTGCGAGTGTTTCTAGATTGGAAAAAAAGAATGGACAATGAGAAAAACCGCATGAGATTTAGTGAATTTTTTTATAAAGATAAATATCTGTACAGAAAGAAATAATGCTGTTTGGTTGTCTAAGCACCTGAAATTTATCGGTTGCCATACCATTTCCTCTTTTCTTCTCAGAAACTAAATTGTCGAATGCATTGAAATGGTTTGAGACCGTGGTCCACTTCCGCTTGAACGTCCTATGCAAACGATCTACCATGTCTACTTCCGGTGTCTACGTTGTTCTCATAGATTTCAGTCATTATTTTAAAAAAAAACCAAGAGATTTTGAGATTTTGCCAAAGATTTCACCTTTAAGTGTTTTGCGCCAGAAATCTAGAAGATAAGTGTGATGAAGAAAAAGAATTGCTGACGCTAAAGTCCTTCAGTTTGATTCTGGCAAAAATTGCTGTTTAAATTACGGCTTCCTTCAAACCGTCACTTTTCCTCAACACCACGGTTATGTTACCTTCTTCAGAGTGCACTATTCTATAAGGAAATCTTTTCTAAAAATAGTTGTCCTTTGTCGTTATAGTATAAGTACCGGCACAAATCTTCTACATAACTAAGTAATTCATTTTCCATTTCAGTTCTGTTCAAGTCGATCTAACTCAAAGGTGTGGTTGGCCCCATATTTTAGATAGCCAAATAAAGCAATGCGTCACGGATATATGAAACTGTTGTGCGATTTAGTAGAGATAGCAGTTCGTTTTTGCCGTTGTAACCTTTAAAAAATATTTCGTTAATACTACACATTACTTCAATGATGCTGAGATATTTGCAAAACCCCGTACTGCAGGTGTCTGCGGTGGTGAACGAACGCGCTATTGTCCTTTCCGGGGGAGGGGGGAACGCGTTCACCACCGAACTATACGGGTTCTTCGTTTCGCTTGTCTCCCAGCTAGTTCTATCTATCTCTGCCATCAGCAACCACCTGTCAGCGGGTTTGATCTGAGGAGCCCAAGTCGGCAACGAACCCAGTTAAGCTGAGGCTCTAGTTATAATCACAATCCTAACCGTTTTATTTACTGCCTACTCTTTTTAATGGCAGGGTTTATTGCAAAAATCAGGCGAAACGAAGGACCAGCATGGTGTGGTGGTGAATGCGTTACTCCCCGGAAAGGATAATAGCGCGCTCGTTTCCCACCGCATACACCTGCGGTCCGGAGTTTTGCAAATATTTCAGCATCATTGAAGTTATATTTTTTAATATACTCTGCTATTAAAAAGTCTAGGCACTAAATAATACGTTAGAGAACTACACATTACCTTTCCCATAAATTAACAAATTTGTGTCAGCATGAGTCATACTTAACTCATAGGTTGAGAAGGAGCGAAACATATCGTGCGCGTCATACTCGACTCATTTTCTTCTCCTTTGCCTTTTTCTTTCTTACTCACAAGCTTTTTTTTGCGATATCTCTCGTGCGACATCAAGAGTTTTTCTCGTACAAAAGTTGGAAACAAATCAGAGATAATCGTTGGGCTTTTTGAATGCAGAAAAAGCTTGTAAACCATTTGGAGAATAAAACTGTGGGAAAAACAACAGACAATAGAATTTACAGCAATAAAAATATTGGAAAAGAAAACTACCTAGAAGTCAACATAGAGCCATTCTATTACCTATGCAATAACTCATAGACTCCAGAAAATAGAGAAAAACGTGGGCTCACTTTCCCAGCTTTATCAGAAAAAAAGCTGAAACTGGAAAGAAAGAGGAAGCGAAAATTGCATAGATTGCGACAGAAATTCTTGACGATGAAGAATACCCATCAGAAATTCTTCTGGAAAAAACTCTCCGTGATACTTTAATGGTTGTACAAAGCTCTTTGAAATGATATCGGAAAAGTTAATTAGAGGGAAATAGAAAAATTGTTTGGCCCATGACAGCGCTTGGCTCTACCGACTGCTGATAACCTAGTTAGAATACTGCAGTTATTAATAATTAACCTTGTAGCAACTTGACACTTTCATCATACACAGCACGCGAGAAACGAATAGCGAACTTTCCAATGATCGATGTGAGATTCCAGAGATAAAAGAGCTTAATAGCGCTACCAAGTAGCTCGTTAGTTTTAACCACTATAAGTGGCGCTATTAGGTATCAATAATTCAGTGAAAGAAGCTTTTTCTTGAACGAAAAAATGTTTTAAGCATTTTGCAAGGTAATGACTATTTGAAAAAAAGTGGAGACACTCATAGCGCTGTTTTTCTTAGAAGAAAATAGAAATAAGAGGTTATCAAATCCACTTCTGTCTAGTATCGATTGAATTTCTTCCTTCAGTTTATAAGGAGTTAAAATGAAATCTATCGAAAAAAAATGGTAATAAAACGCCGGAATAACAAAGTAGAAAATCACTGGAACAAACACTCTACGTTAAAACAACATTTGAGAAATATAACGGGTGAACACAACGATAAAAAAAAGTTGTCTTCGCTGTTGTCGTCTATAACGAAAATTATAGGATAGTATACGGTATGCTTCTAAGGATCCACCTACCAATCCAGGAAACAGCCTTTCAAGGCGCAATTGGTTTTTTGTGGTACCTTACTGGGAACTCCACCGATTCAAGGCGTGATTATTACAAGGCCTAGTTGACATGTTACTTGAACTATTGCTAGAAATTGTAGCTGAAGATTTACCTAAGAGATGCTACTGCGTCAACGGGTTTTACGTTCTACGACCAATCACACAAAAAAAATATCCCACTTTTTCCTGAAAACTGAGTTATGTTTAATGAAGCTGAGATATTTGCAAAACTCTGGAGAGCAGGTGTCTGCGGTAAGGAACGAACGAGCTATTAACCTTTCCAAGTGATTGCTGATGGCAGTGATCGATAGAACTAGCTGAGAAATAGGCGAAACGGAGGACCCGCATGGTGTGGTGGCGAACGCGTTACTCCCCGGAAAGGACAATAGCGCGTTCGTTTCGCACCGTAGACACCTGCGGTTCGGAGTTTTGCAAATATCTCAGCATCTTTAAAGTTATATTTCACAATATATATCCTGTCGTTAAAAAGAGTAGACAGTAAATAATAAGTTAAAATTGAGTTGCATTTGTCACTTTATCATTGCTGACATAGTTCAGTTTCAGCTCCTCATGTTTCACCGGTTCATATACAAGTTGACACCAATATCTCTAAGGTGGGCAATTCTTTTGTCTCTATACACATTATCCTTTTCTTTTAAGAACGGTTCGAACCAATTGCGCCTACGGAACATTAAAATTAATGGTAGAGAAAAGAAAGATGCACTTTAAAGAGTTTTAAAGAGCTACGGCGGCATTGAGCAACCAAATTATAATAGACACACACACTCAACGTTAGCGAAAACGTGTAATCCCGGATTCCTTGATGATCCATTGTTAACAGCTGCGTGAGCCAAAAGGGCATTTCCATATAAATGGTACACTTTTGGCTGCTAATGTAATTTTCGTTTACCTGGCAGTCTCCAGAAACTCAAAAGTAATTACCGTAGAGTTGTAGTGCGCAGATAGTAGAAAGGGTTGCCGTCTTGACCCTGGGTTTCTTTTAGGTCTGCCCATCCCCTCAGCAAAAGATTTTTATGGGAAATGGAAGTGATCAAATTTTTAGCGTGCCGGAAGATCAGTCCACTCATGTGGATTTAACTCCGGTACTAGTAGACACTGCAGCAGCCACAATAAGGTGGCAAACCTTTTAGAGGTGGGGCCGAAGGTACGGCGTGAGATGAACCGAAAAACAATTTGTTATTCGTAGAAAAGTATCGTATTGCAGCTGTTATGCCAAAATAAGAAGGTCAACATGAGAAAGAAACGAGAAAGAAAAGAGTGAAATGCTGCTGTCGCCGAAACGAAAGTTGCAAATGCGTGAATATTTTTCAGTCGGAGGATGCTGGTCCTTACGATCGTACACGGTTCGATCTCGTCGAGCAATTTCATCCTCTTCAAACTGCTTCGGTAGCTAAAGGCAAGAGCTAACAAAAAAAATGCAAACTTTAAAACTTCGTCGAACAATAAGTCTTTTAAACGAAAACTTTCTCACAACACCGTTTCATATCATAAGATCTTCCCTCACATCGTCATTGTGAGCGACGTGCTTTATTACGTCACGGAACAGAAGAAATATAAGAATAGTAGGAAAACGTGAACTGGTTGCAGGAGAATATTTGCAAGAACTAAGACGTCGAATTGAGGGCGTGAAGTCCTTTCTAAGCGAGGCATCCACAAGAGATCCGCTAAAAAACGACAGCTCTGAATCTGGGACAGAGTTGCTGACTGCTCGTCGTAAGTTTTCTCCATGTTCTTTTTTTTCCTCTTCAAAAGACATTGCGCTCTAGGTAGCTCAAAATTGCTTTCTGGAATTACTACAGATTTCCGTGAAAACAAAAAAGACTAATTTTGACGGTTTCTTTTTCGATTTTACTGTTTTCCTAACAAGAATAGGCCAATTTTTTACGATCTTTAAGGCCACACTTTCTTATTCCTGAAAACAAAAGCGATAATCTACTTTAAGTGAAAAGGGTTATACTTATTTGATCGAAGACCAGTATTTCATTTCTTACTTACTGTGAGGTGAATGACCTCAAATGGGGTTAATGAAACGTTACCGTTGATCCATAGCAGGTGAAGCTGCAACAATCATCTTCGAAGAAATAGAAGCTTTCGCCTTTCAGAGAACCTGGGTTAAAACTTCTTGAATTAGCAACACGTTGAAAGCAATCCGCTTAGGGAAACTTTGTGCTGTAGTGATTTCAAGGTTACAGGTTTAAGTGGCTAAAGGTGCTTTTTTCGGCACACATGATTTTTGCTCCCACTCTTCGCTTGGGCCAATCTCTTATCCTCTGGGGTCGAGAAATTGGTCCTAGGCTTGTTTTGAAAGATGGGAAAACTATCCGAAATATCACAATGATGCTGAGACATTTACAAAACTCCGAATAGCAGAGGTCTGATATACCGTTAAGCAGTCACGTGTCAAGTATAAGGAAAACATTTGCGTTCAACCGCCTTCACGATGGTTGATGAAGCTGAATGCATGGCGCATCTCTAGTGGTTTGATCAGCGCCGACAATTTTATTCTTTTTGTCTTTTGTATAAAAACTTCTATTTAACATGAACCATTATAAAAAAAAGTTAACCGAGATCACCGTTTTGTGTGGTTGTCTGGGCATCAGCGACCAATGTATGTAGTAGGTTGTATGGGATTAGGCAATTGCGTATACGAAGTATTACCGATAATTGTTGGTGTAGAACTGGCAGCGTAAGAGCCGAAGTTATTTAGTTGCCCTTTTCGTCAACATTCCGATTGGGTTTCAGACATTGGCTATGAAAGCATAGGATTTTCAAAGGTAAAGAAAGAACAGCCTCAAGGCATATCAGATTTTCAGCTAAGTACCATTTTTCATGAAGCCGCTAAGTGGGAAGTTTGACTGCTTTGCTCCGAAGATCCTTCGAAAAGAATATTCGTAATCTTTCATGACCTTAGTGTGAAGAAGTTTGAACTGACCAGTGCAATAAACGAAGAGCTTTTGCCTTTCAGAGAAGACACAAACTGTGTCACTACGTTACGATTTACAGCGTCCATGATGAAGTTTAGATGGTCGAAATACCATGCTTCTTTAATTTACTCTCAGTGCTACGGAAAGTTTGCTGACAATTTTTAAATTCAATGTTCCAAAGCCATGTGAAGATCGTTTGTTCCGTTTTCCTTCTGAAACGATCTACATGCAATTAAAAAGTCGTGTAAAGCTTGAAGAGAAAATTTTCTCCGTGTTTAGCTCATGTCCTCCCAACTGTTTACCACCGATCCGTGGCTGGGATGTGTTCCTGGGGTTGGGCTATGATCTATATCAATGTAGTCCAACTCACTTAAATGTGCTTTCCAATAATAGATCCTCAAACTCTTTGTAATTGCTGTTCAAAAAGCCTTTATTCAAGACATTAAATAAGTGTATTAGTTAGACGTCCCTCGCAATAAAACGTGCTCTTCGGCTCGACCTATGCCTTAGATTCACCAAGTCTTCCATAACTCCGGGTCGGCAAACTGGTACCGCGCTTCTCTAAGAAGGCAACAACACTGACTTGGTACATCGCTTTACGCTTTACCAATGAACTACGTAGTAACCAAAATAAGAAAGTGAGATCTTGATGTGTTCAGTAGTTTGCGGCAACCATTCATCCGGAACATATTTATGGTGCTTATGGTACCGAAATCATAGATCTACTCTAGCCCATGCTGGCTTTTTCACTTTCAGGCCTCGCTTTCGGTGACTGGAGTACATGGAGCACCTGGACCCCATGTGTAGGCGGCGAGCGAAGTCGTGTTCGTTCGTGCAGTGCGAAAATACCAGCACTTCGAATCGTCTGTCACGGAGAAGCTAAAGAGGTCAGCACGCAGTGGACCATAATTTCCCTGGTTCTTTAGAGCGCAATGAAAGACATAGCTATTGATTGGCACGGTGAATTGTTTCAGTCAACAGTGTACCAAAAACTTGAGTGTTTCAATTTTTGAAAGAGTTGTTTATTTTAATATTGTGCTTCAATTTCTCTATCACGTGGTATCATAACTCAAGCATAGAAGTATTCCAATGCATATGCAGTGAGTGCACATCACTTTATTCCTTATTTTAGCAGACGCTTTTCTATAAGTGATATCTCTGTCCAACAACTCAGAAGTCCGTTCAGCATTCATTGCGAAAAAATAACTTTAGCGAAACTAAGGAAGATATTTTAAGTACATTTCCCGTTTCTGATGGATTTTGTTGAGTGTTTACAGTCAGCGAGATTTCTCTAATGTTCAACTTTGATCTTCACAGGTTCGGAAATGCTTTTCTACCCAAGATCAACAAGTGCCGGTCGCAAACGATCCATGGACAATTGAGCGTGAGATTACCGGCGATTTCAAGTCGTAGAAAAGGACGACCTTACCAGTTTTAAGGCTGTCAACATATTGTAGAATCTACTGTATTCGTTTCATTATGTGCTTTATTATGTGAATTACATGCATCATTATTTGATTTATCAACAAAATTGAGAAATATAAAAGTTTCACAAAAGTAAACACCATAATGTTGTTGAGATATTTGAAAAACTCCGGACCGTAGGTGTATGCGGTGCGGAACGAACGCGCTATTACCTTTTCCGGGGTTAACGCGTTCATTACCACGCCATTATAACACTATAGTGACACTGCAGAATGGTCGGTATATGTGTGAACTGTTGCTCCTATTGTCTTCTCGATAGTGTTGCAATGTTGAGGGTGAAAAAAAGAACTAAGCTTTCAGTTTTGAACAAGCTGTTGTGGATTCTCCATGCGTTCGACTTCGTTCATTATCCTTAGAAGAGGTTGAATGTATACCTTGCATATACAGTAACTTGAAGCAACTTATCGATATACTCAGTGATTTCCCATAGAACTCCAGCACCAATTTGCCAGTCTCGGAGGATGGCTAGCTAAGCTCAGGATACGAGATTGAACAGAAAACCACGTGTGTGTTGCAGGGCACCTCCAACCATTGTGTTATAGACGCCTTCTTTAAAATTATGACAATCTCGTATTAGCATAGTCACCTAAAAGAATGTGGACCAATTGTACTAAGACTATTGGGAAAGTAAGTTTTAAGACATCGAGAAAAGCCTTCCAAGTTGTTTCTGGGAAGGTGTGGTATAGCGTAGTAGTAGTGCAGCGCGTTATCATGAATGCTTGAGGAACACGTGCACCGAGTCTATTCGATAAGTGCAACAAAAAAGATTAGGATATGGATTTGCTTGCACTAGTAAGATTCATTCTTGTAGAAGTATATACCGCTCGTTGTTCATCATGACATGGTTTAAAAGGTAAGCTTTTTGGTTAAATGCTGGCCTACTACTGTAATTCAGTGGCCGGGCTTTTACAATAAATTGCATGTTTAATTGAAAGCTCCTTGTTAGAAATAGAAATTCGACCGGTCCGTGTGGGCATCGTTAAGTGCCTTTCGTTCAAGATGGTAGTCAGGAGTAAGCGATCATATCCTATATAATCACCACGGATATCAGAAATCCCGCAAGAGGAGCGCTAGTTCGCTCAGCAATACACGACATTCTCTGATTCGATCCCAGCCTGAACCTTTCATTTCTCTGTTGACGGCAGACTGGAGCGAAACATGTCTGGAAGTGCAAAAATGCTGACTTTTTACATTAATATTCACTTACGCATTGAACAGGCTAAATATGCATTCAGTTACCTCTACAATGCTTAATGCAGTCGAATTCATGACGTACACCAAATGGTTTGTTCTACGCCGAATATTGTTTCCTTTATGCGCTGTACAAGTGCTATCCACCTCACCAATCAAGGCCCTCACATCGTCTTTCTCTCAGCAATTCTTTAACCGCATCGGTGCCATCAGCCTCTCACCAAGACTGAACTGAAGGCATTGAGCCTGGTTAACTGGTGTTTAAGAAACTTTTTCGTTTAGCTCAATTAATATCGTCCGTTACAGCTTAGTTGTACTCCTAGCAATCGGGACAGCATCATTCGTCCTATACTTATGGATGATCGACGAAAGTTCGAATAAACGTAAACGTGTGTATCATCCTGGCTATTCCTAACATTTGTTTTCATAAGCTTTTGCCAGTAAGTTAAGAGAGTTTCATGCTTATACTGAGTGAATTTCAGCAAAGTTCGCAAAAAATCAAGGTCCGATTCCAATTACAGATGAAATGAGGACTGCCAAATCGGCAGAGAGCACGGAAACGGTAAATTAATACTGATCAGGAGATACTTTTCTAATGAATAACTTCTCAATCTTCTTAGAACTCATCGCCAGTAAAAGAACGAAAACTCGACGAATAATCGCTTGAAAATACCAAATTTAACTTTTAAAATATTCCAGGCTGTGCAGTTGCAACAACGCCAACGTCAACTGCAATAAATCCGACTACACTTCGGAGTCAAAAACTTCGAAAAAAGCAGTTGTCATGGTTTTCTAGACTTGAAAGCAATAAAGACAATAACTTACTCATTGGTTCACCAAATGTTAGCTGTGTTATCACCAATGTCGTCAGAGTGAAAGCAGACGTATTGACTTTTTCCCAGCATATTTGTCAAAGCTTAGAGTTTCAATTCGCGTGTAATTCTTGTGCGTCGAAGTGGCTACTTGCATACTCTCTTAGTCTTGGCCTATGCCTTACTGCAAGGGGTATAATTCTTGCATTGTTGGTATAAGAAATATATCTAGATGACACAGCGGTAGTGATGTTGTTTAATAGTGCAGGGTGGTGGCTGGATCCCGCAATTTTCTCAGGAAACTGACACTAAACGTGACTGAAATGCGATCACACTGCTCACTCGCATCTACAATGGATGGCGGCCTCCAGCTTTCTAATCAGAATATGTTCGGACAGTAGCATTTCACCAGTTTCACAAAGAAGACCAGATGTCCTCAAGTAGCAGACGAAGCGACGCCCAGAATCTCAAAACCATCATGGATGAGGGATGCGTGAAAGAGAACCGCATGATAGAAGTGCTGCAAAGAGAAGAAATGAGAAATAGTTGCTACAGCAATGAAATGTCGCAGAAAAAATTTTGCTGGTGGTGGTGGCATCCAATGAATCGTATTTTTCCAGCGCTGCTATCCCTTAAAGCAGGACATTACGAAAAGAAGCGGATACCGAATTTTTAATGACTGACAATTAAAATACTGGTATAATTATAGCAGCGAGGTATCGGTGCTGAATTCTACTATATTGAGCTTGAATACCCACAGACAATATCGCATGTTGTGTGGGTCTCAAAACTTTTTCCAGTATTGTAACTTTGTTTTTTCCTAACTGTCATCCACAGAGAGAGTCGAACTCGTTTGTGTTTTCGACGGCAGCTTCTGACTGTTTCATCATATCTGACTGAAATGACTGGTGCTGGTCAAGCCCAACTGTGAGAACCCAGGATAGGCCGGATAGGGTGTTTTCATGCCGTAGGCTGTTCTTCACCTTTGAAAAATGTACAACTGTGCTATTCGGATTCCTCCACCATGATAGAGATTACCTGACCTGGAGAAATTGAGTAAGCTTGGATGTTACATTATGAAAGATGTAGTGGAGCATACGGTCGTTGCTGTTGCCGTTCAGTTAAGGTTGATGATTCGATAACCACAACAGAACTGGCAGTGGGTCCACAATATTGAAAAAGAATAACTGAAATTGACGCGAAGTTTCACTGCGCGTGTTTAGTAGGGTTTAAGACATTTATTTAAACAGAAGGCTAAACCACTTGCGAGACGGAAACTGAAAAGAATGACTTAATAAAAATCGTGAAGACAGTAGACTCGCAAACCATTAAGTCAGAAATGACAATGGCAGTAGCGTCGAATTTTGGATGTGTGCGTGTGTGTATGCGTATATATATATATATATATATATATATGTACCCATTTGTGTATATCCGTCCACCCGAAACGCTTTAAGAGTTTTGCCCCATGATGCTTTGGATTTCATAGTGACTTTCACTTAAAAATCTTCCCCGTTGTGCCTTTGTGCTTCATGAGTGCCTAGTGGGGTATTCTATTTAATCTGAGCTATACCGGCTAAGTGTTTTTTTCATATGGACGGAGGTACTCTACCGTTGTGCCAACGTATTCTTATTTGCCCTAGCGGTATGAGACTATATTTCATTTCATGAGATCGGGTACGGTGAGTGTAGTCTCTTGCAAAGCGCATGAAGACGAACACAATAGCGAAACGGGTTGAACACTCAGCATCCGTATAGTATACAAGTGGTCCTAAATGCGAAACATGAAGTCAAGCAGAACACTCCACTAAACTCGCATAGGATACGAAATCATGACGGAGAACAGCTGGAGTAAAAGTCACTCTCCTCGCACAGGAATCTAAAACTTCAGCTCGCAAAGCAATAGAAGTATCTTGAATAAATTCTAAAAATCCAAAGATGAACAGCAGTTAGAAGTGCACAGTGATCACGCATCACTTCGCCTATAACTTATCTTGATTTATTTATTTATGAGATCTTATAAACTGATCTTCTTAAGCTGACGCGAGGTTGGTACAGATCTTCGTTGTCGTTGTCGTTGTCGTTGTTTTTGATGTTATTGATCGATGGCTGACGTTTCGGCGACTTCGCCTTCCTCAGAGCCTGGACGTACTTTATGTTAGAATACTTTTTATTATTCGGTAGAAAAGAAGGTTAAGGTATTAATGAAGATCAAACTTTCAAATAGACGCCATATTGAACAGAAAGGCCACTCACCGTGATGTTACGTGCGGGACTGGCCCACACGTAGTTCACGTGGAGTCGCGAGCAAGACACGCCCCGGGGTCAAAATATCATTTTTTTCCAAAATCCAAAGATGAACCGGAAGGACGAATGCCTCACTATCACACGTGACCTGGCGCCCTATTTCAAAATGATATTTTGACCCCGGGGCGTGNTTTCTGCGACTTCGCCTTCCTCAGAGCCTGGACGTACTTTATGTTAGAATACTTTTTATTATTCGGTAGAAAAGAAGGTTAAGGTATTAATGAAGATCAAACTTTCAAATAGACGCCATATTGAACAGAAAGGCCACT